GTTTATTATTAGTATAGTTATTATTTATTATTATACTTATTGTTATAGTTATTTACCGTTATAGTTATTAATAGTTATACTTATTTATTATTTTTATAGTTATTTTAGTTACATTATTATTATCACGATCAATATTATCATCATCATGGTGAAGGTTAAAAATGTAATAAATTACATGAATCCTTTGCAGAGGAAGTTTCGCTCACACAGTGAGTGAAACGTGAATCAATAATGCTCAGCGCGATTGCGAAACGTCTATAAAGATCACGTTATGGGTTAAACGTCAAGAAAATACCGACAAACTGATGAATAAGACACATGTGTAACACCCTGGTATCTTTACTGCCGAAACGTTTCGCCTAGGTAGCAGGCTTCTTCAGTGGAATACCCAAGTACTGCACATGTCTTATCTTTAAGTTCCTTTCCTCTGGACATGGGGTTGAGTCTATGGTTTACGGGACTAATGTTATCTCTGGAGTGACCGCTGACCGGGTGTTCCTGTCTGTTTTACTGTCAACTTCAGCTGGTATGAAGAGATGTATTGAATGCTCTGTCTCTTCTCTGTCTCTTTCTCATTCACTCTGGCTATTATTCTCTCTCTCACTGGTAAATTAAACATGTGTGCACCACCTGGGATTTTTATTTCGTAGACGTTTGTCTTCATCAGCACCTCATAGGGGAGATAAATGGAAGACTGTCGAAGAGTAAGCTATCAGTTCCTCAGCCTCGCAGAACTGTATACAGAAGATACCTTTAATCTGTATCCCATCTACCTCTCATTCGTTTTCTCCCGCTACTGAGTTACACCACGACCACCTCACCACCACCACACCATTTCACCGCCACACTATCACACCACACCACCACACTACCACACCACACCACCTCACCACCACACATCACTACCACCACACTACACCACAACCTCACCATCATCACACTACCACACCACCACCACCACACAACATAAACTCACCACCACAACAACACCACCACACATTACTACCACCACAATACACCACCATCACTACCACCACAACCACCACACTACCACACCACCACCAAACATCACTACCACCACTACACCATGAAACACAGGGTAAACAAACCGATGGAGTATCTCCCAGTGAATATACACCAGAGTTGACTTTATTCCCCCAATTTAGGGATTAAGGCGTAATTGTTGGTTAATTATGATCGGGATTGCTACCTTAATGACACTATTGCATTCGATAATTCTTAAACCTGACTAATGACCGGTTGGAACATCAAGCTATCATACTGTACCCCATGATCAATAAGGGTGTAATACCTGGATGATAATCATGAAAAATGGTTTCCATTAGTGAAAATCGCTAATGCGATTCCATTGGAATCATGACAGCTTGGATTTATTAGAATGGTGATTTTTTTTCAGGCGAATGATAATCCGCGAGTGTGAGTAATAATCGTATGATAATCGCGATGGTTGTTTATAGAATGATAATTCGCTAGACTTTCTTAGAATGATAATAGTAGATTCTCCTAAAATGATACTCGCTAGTAGATTCTCCTAAAATGATACTCGCTAGTAGATTCTCCTATAATGATACTCGCTAGTAGATTCTCCTAAAATGATACTCGCAGTAGATTCTCCTAAATGATACTCGCTAGTAGATTCTCCTAAAATGATACTCGCTAGTAGATTCTCCTAAAATGATACTCGCTAGTAGATTCTCCTATAATGATACTCGCTAGTAGATTCTCCTAAAATGATACTCGCTAGTAGATTCTCCTAAAATGATACTTGCTAGTAGATTCTCCTAAAATGATACTCGCTAGTAGATTCTCCTATAATGATAATCACTAGTAGATTCTCCTGGAATGATAATCGCAGTAGATTCTCCTAGAATGATAATCGCTAGATTCTCCTAAAATGATAATCGCTAGTAGATTCTCCTAAAATGATAATCGCTAGTAGATTCTCCTAAAATGATAATCGCTAGTAGATTCTCCTAAAATGATCGCGAGTATATTCTCTTAGTATGATAATAACGAGTGAAAGTTTATAGAATGATAATTCGTTAGTAGATTCTCCTAGAATGATAATCGTTAGATTCTCCTAGAATGATAATCGTTAGATTCTCCTAGAATGATAATCGTTAGATTCTCCTAGAATGATAATCGTTAGATTCTCCTAGAATGATCGCGAGTATATCTTAGTAAGATAATAGCGAGTAGTAGTTTATAGAATGATAATTCGTTAGTAGATTCTCCTAGAATGATAATCGCAGCTAGCAGTTGGAGTGGTGACAGCGTGAACACCAACTTTCCCCAAGACTAGTTTAGTTTATCTCTGACATAGTGTTATTCTCCTTACTCTTAGAGCCGGGAGCTAGAACTAAATATTTTTTTGCTAGGTCACCCAACAATGGAAGTGCTTTGACGCCAGTGACGGACTCTTGATCCTAGGAAATGATGTTCTCCTTCCTTCCATTGGATTGATGATGATTGCCTTCCGTTGCCCAAGCGCTTTATGAACCTTACCGGTTTAAGGCTCTTATAATAATAATAACAATAATAAAAGCAATAATAATTATATTAACTAATAGCAATAATAATAATTTGCTGATATAATTTGTATTGGTAAATCGTTATATGCGATAGAATGGGACTGAATACTTATTATATATTATTAAATAGCAATAATAATTTGTAATATTAATAGTAATTTTATTTTTTGGATGAAATATCTGGAAATTTATTTTACGTTTGTCAAAGAGTTGTCAATTAAACTTTTTCGGGGGGGGGGGAGGGGGGGGAGGGGGGGAGGGGGGAGGTTTTAAATGCATTTTTTGGGGGGGCCCACATCCATACACATGACGGTAGTGGTGAGAATACTCCGTCTGACTGATTGATGTGGTTCTCCGGTATCGTCCCGGTCCCGGTCTTGTCTAGTTGGTGACCCCGGCATCTCCGTCTGACGGTGTTTACACGTGGTCAGGTCTTCAGTACATCAGGCGGATGAGCAAATTTCCATAGAAATTGTAACGAAACCGAATTCGAGCGGAACTGACATGTTATCAGAGGCTGTTGGCTCTTGTTTGTCGAGATGTAAACGAGTGCCTCTTCTCGTGCGATAGTGTCGCAACAAATTTTATGAGGGCATCAATATCATGACTGGCATCAATATTATGAATGGCATCTGTATTATGTCTGGCTTCAATATCATGAATGGCTTCAATTTCACGAGTGTCATCAGTATCATAACAGGCTTCAATATCAAGAGTGGCATCAATATCATGATTGGCTTCAATTCATGAGTGGTATCAGTACTATGACTGGCTAAAATTTCATAAGTGCTATCAGTATTATAAATGGTTTCGGTTGCATAACTGGCATCACTTCTATGACCTGAATCAATCATCTGTCTCGAGTTAATGAAAATCTATTGGATTTTTAGTATGCATTATTATCCTCAGCTTGTATATAGACATCCTCAAGCTATCTGTATCGATTACTTTTTGAGAGAGAATGAGTGTATACTCGAAGATCAATATGTCAAGAGGAGTTTACCATACTATATTAATACGACAGAGTCACGTCAAGGTCGTATGTACACGAAGAGGAATTATATATATATATATATATATATATATATATATATATATATATATATATATATATATATATATATATATATACATGAGAGAGAGAGAGACTTTACTTTAATCCCTACTCAAGGGATTAAAATACATTCTAAATTGGGGGTTTAGGGCGAAATCCAGCCTTAATGACCGTCGTGTGGTCTACAGGATTTAAACATAATACATACACCACTAGTCTCCTCGGTATTGTTCGCTCTAGTGATCTGTTGCAATGTCAACATTAATTTCCCTGCAGAGATCACTCTGTTGCAGCTCGTTAAAAATTAAATGAAACTAAATTTCTACGAAGAATATTAGTTAGATTTACAAAACTGGCAAAAAATGTCGTGTTATGGCTCTTTTTGCTTCTGAAAGTTGAATCATGTAGAAACAAGCATTGAAATAATTAAATGACCCCTGGAGCAAAATATGCGTAACAACGCAGTGGAGTGGGTTTAGGTCAATGGTACGGAGTGCGACCTGAGGTCTGGGTTTTGATTTGTGGTCATGTTTGCCCCTGGGGTATGAATTTTCACCTTTGGGATGCGTTTTGACTCGTGGTGTAGAATTTAACCCTTGGTGCTGGTTTTAAACCCATTGCACGAATTCTGACCCGTATCACAGGTACAGTCCACACTTTGGCCTAGGGTCAGGATTATGTCCAGCAATCCAACTTTTGACTCGTAACGGCTTGTATTAATGGAGTACACAATACCTATTTTTAAGTAATGAGATTTTCACATTTTCTTTAAATTCATGGCGCAATCGCAATCAACACATTTGCAATGTCCGAAGATTTCATGGCTGGATTGTGTGAAAGTTTTAGGATTAAGACAGTGTCTTAAGCAGCGAAATATTTAAGTTTCTTTGCACATTAATGAAAGTTGCCAACTTCGTGATGTTCAGCACAATGTGGCAGGTCCCCTTTAACCAAAAGTCAATACTCTGGATCAACACTGGAATATCTGCAATTGGGAATACTATTAAACCCTTAATGGACGCTCTCAGTGCACTGACCAAATGGTAGTTGCAATAACATTCTTTTTTTTATGTAGCATGATTTAATCCAACTACCATGAATATATATGTGTGTGGAAAATGTTCGTGTATAAATTAAACGAGTAGTAACGTTCAAACAGCTGAGTCTGCAAGCACAATGGGTAGGAAAGTGATTTTTTTTTTCATAATGCCGGATATCCATTTAAAATTATTACTAGGCAAAGTCGATTATCAAATCTAATTAAAAAACAGTGTTAATATTGCGTAAATATATCAATTACTAGGCATGAAGACATATTTTTATATAATATATTGAGGGAAAGATTTCGTCTGATTTCCAGAAATTTTAATTAAAAAAAAATTACATTTTCTTACCAGTGTCTCTTTGGTTCAGGACTCATAACAGCTCTGTTGTGATGGCGCTAGGCTGGTGGTGGTGGGGTTTGAGTCACTTGTGCTCGAGTCAGTAGTTGTGTGTGGCTCCGCTGACGGATACTGGTCTGCTGTCGGGCATGGGCTCGCAGGCGGATAGGACTCAGCAGCTGAATATGCGTCAGGTGGTGGACGGGAATCAGAGGCCGTGAACGAAGGTGCTGACCCGTCGCAACAAGAAGTGCTTCGTCTCCACTGATCACAGCGACGCCGAGCGCTGCCGTCGCTGCTTTTCTTCAAGATGGATTTCAGTGGTTCTTTTGGGGCCCTTGACGTCTTGCCACTTGGGCTTCCTCTAGCAGGGCTCTGCTGCAGTGGAGACTCCGTTTCTGGTGGACAATTTGGATCATCTGTGTAACCACTTACTTGTATTTGTGGTACGGGACTGTCCGTGTACCTGACAGCAGGAGACATAGGGGCCTCAACATATACTAGTGAGGGACCCTGGGTGGTGAGGACATTCTCTACACATCCATCGCTCGATGTCTGTGGCCTGGCATGATCAGCAAGTCCGCCGGTTGACAGGGCAGGAACGGTCTCTTCCATATACCCTCCAGCGGAGGTCTCCGTCAGGGATGTCTCTGCGAAGTTTCCAAGAAGTGATTGCATGGCGGAGCGCTGCGTGCAAGGTGCTTGAAGGTTGCAAGAGCAACACGGAACGCCCTCAGGAAATGCTGCCGAAGACACCATAGAACTTCCGGCTACTGGTGGGCAGCAATCCAACCTGCCAAATAATAAAAACATTTATGCAATGTAACCTACTGAAAACTCTGGAGTGATATAAATCCAGTCTTTATAATCAAATAAAGAGGAAAAGAGCGACTTTGATACGTTCATGAGATAAAAATGGGATATTATTGAAAACATTTTACTGCACATTCCTGGAAGCACGTGTCCATGAGTACCTGAGAACTGGACTCTCTGGATACACATACCTGGGGACAGACCCAGCTCTCTTATGAGCTTCGTAGGACTTCTTCATGTGGATCAATTGCTCCTGAAGGCAGCGGTACTCCTTAAGGAACTTCTCGAGTTGTGCTGCGTGGTACTCGAAGTGGCAAGGGTCGGCAGAATGGTGCTGGCTACACCCGTTGTTCCCTGCTGCTCCCTCATTCCTGCGCCACAGAAAAACATATCTTAGAGTCTAATTTACCCTAAGGTAAATTATGTCTGTTTAACTTTCCATGTCTGAAATCCATTATCAAATTCCCCTTGCTTCTATCCCTTTAGCCTTTTTTTTAAATATCCATCCACGGACTGGTACTTTTACAGAACAAATATAATGATGTCCTGGGAAAAAAATAGCCATAAAACACGTCACTAAATATGAAAAAAATACCTCACTGATAAAAATGACGAACAGGGAATCCTCGGATATGTGTGTGGGTGTACACATGAAAGCGGTCTGGTTTTCGTGTTCATTAATTTTTCGCTGTTTTATTTTTCACCTGATGTCATATTTGAACATGTTCACAAACAGAAACGGTAAACCAGCTGAGAGAGGTTTTCAGCAAACTTACCGGTTCACTTGACCGCCCGGGCCAGCAAATGTACCGGCGAATATAGAAGATGACCGCCATTTCCATCCAGTGACCAAAGGCTCCACGAAGCGGGTCAGACCCCTTTTTCTCACTTCTCAGGGCGTACAAAATATTCCCCACCGATAATTTTTACACTGTTAGTGCTCGGTTACTGTTGGTGATTTTTAAATTATTAGCCTGACGCTATCGGTAACACAAATATTCAGCCATAACGACGTTTTCCCTTGGAGACCAGCCAGCAGGCGAGCAGACTTGGCTACCAAATGGAGGCTAATAGAGCGCGGGGAGCTCGGGAGAAGTCTTTGAGGCAGCGTGAAGCCAGCACGATTTTTAGCGTTGGGTAAATTGGCTGGGGACCAAGTCGTGCTCGCTCGCCTCACCCGTCAACACAACATGACCCGCAAGTCCCCCAGTGTACCGTATTTTTCCTTTACTCTGACAAGAAATTAGAATAAACGTAAATATTAGGTTCATGTTAACAGGAATAATAAAATAATTGCAATAATAATAATAACTAATAATAATAAAACTGCAAAAACTGGCGATATATCCCAACACAGGTCGCATCTATCGACCATAACATTAACAGAAGAATGGGACACGAAACTACCTTGGCTTTGCTGGTAACTCAAAATCCTGAAATGAAAAAAAAAAAAATCAGCAAACATCCAGGAGGAAGCCAAACAGTAACATAAGATTTCAGATATGTACAGGACACAGAGAGATACCAGTGACAACAGCGATACAACAATACCCGACTCGGATCACCGACACCAGCCAGGAGGGAAACAACTACTGCCTAGGTCTCGACATGGAGCAAATCGGCTACTCCACCTTTACCCTTCCTGGTAAAAGCCTCTTGATCGAAGAACTTGAAACTACCCTCCCAGTTCCTCGTATTAAGCTTCATTGCTTCCTATTTCCCCAAGCGCTGTTGAAAATAATGTCAATAACACTCCTTGTTTATTTGAAGACCACCGTTTTCTTATTGAAAAACTTATGTGCCTCAGAATATACATGTCATTATATACACCTCACAGTACATGCCTCACAGCATACACCTCACTATATACACCTCACGGTATACACCTCACTATACACCTCATTATATACACCTCACTATATACACCTCACGGTGTACACCTCACGGTACACACCTCACAGTACACACCTCACTATATACACCTCACAGCATGTACCCCCACAGCATACACCCCACAGTGTCTGGTAATTATTTCCTGACGAATAAACCAACAAGAGCAACATTTGCAATATCTCTAAAGGTTTCACCTTTAATATGCCCATCCCGGACTCCAGACGAAGAAATAAACACATTTGTATTTGAAATGCTTAACCAAACCAATCAAATTAATTGCGGACGCATCTATATTTAATTATACATTATCTTTATATCATTCATGATTGTTAGGGCGGTAAAAGCGTGTTATATGGAAGATGTATTTGAAAAAAATTGACTGGTAGTGTTTTAAAATCGAGATCTTGTGGTGTTATATGTGTGTGTGTAATTTATATTCATTTGAGAGAATTAGAGAAGCAGACAACAGACTCTATAGTCTACCTGTTGAGACAGACTAATTACAATGAAAAAAACATATATACTGGAGAGTTACACTGCGTGACCAGACTGGTGAAAACCTCTTGCGATCAACGGAATGCAATCGAATCATCGGTAATTACCTAACAAGAGGAAACACACTGCGTTGAAAGCTTAAAGTGCTGGGAATCGATGCAGTCTCTCGCCTGGACTTATTAGAGAACACGGCATCCCGGAAATGTAATTCTTGATGGGATGAAAGCACGTAGGAATAAATACCTGGTGAAGAGTTTGAGATTTCCAACAAGGGGTTAAAAATTTCCAACAAATGATTAAAGATTTTCCAACAAGGGATAAGAGGTTTCCAGCAAGGGATTGGAGGTTTCCTACAAGGAATTGAAAGTTTCCAGCAAGGGATTGGAGGTTTCCAACAAGGGATTGAAGGTTTTCAACAAGGGATCAGAGGTTTCCAACAAGGGATTAGAGGTTTCCAACAAGGAATTAGAGATTTCCAGCAAGGGGTTAGAGGTTTCCAGCAAAGGATTAGAGGTTACCAACTAGGGGTTAATGGTTTCTAACAAGGAGTTAGGAATTCACAACGAGGAGGGGATCGAAGATTACCAGAAAAAGTTAAATTTTCGCAGAAAAGGCTCCCAGCAAGTGCAGATTAGCACTTGTGGTTAACACTGCTCATTTTTGACCAGAATGCTGGAATTTAAAACACACACACACACACACACACACACACACACACACACACACACACACACACAAACACACACACAAAATGATAAAGCTCTTGGAACAGGGAGAGAGTGGCTCTAGTAGCAACAAGCAAAGAGACGGAGCCAGAAGCTGTGATTCGACTCCTGCAACCAAATATAGGTGAGTACGTATAAGTGAGCACACACACACATACACACTATCGACAAGTGCCTTTAAGAGGTGTGTGAGTTTCCCTGTCTCATAATATCATGTTTATTTTTTCCCTGTAATCTGCCTTGTCCATAATTACTGTCACATTTGCTTTGTCTGTTGTCGTAAGGTGAAGTCCAGGATCTTTCCTTAATTCATGGAATAAGATAAAAATCTTTGAAGACAATTGTGTTGCAGAGGTCTGAGCGAAGTTCAGACCTCTGCAACATAATATTTAACCTCCCAGTGTGCAATAAAAATTCCCTTATATATTGAATATAGTCATATAATTTCGAAAATAATAAATATACGGAAAAGTATCGGTATCGGCCGAAAACTGGATGTCAATATTAATATTTCATAAACACGCGGGATAACAGGTATATCTTGCTACTTCTACTTAAACTTTGGTCACACTACACATGCATGTACAAACATACACACACACACATCCCCACTGGGTTTTCTTGTATTTTCTTACTAGTTCTTGTTTTGGTTTATTTCCTTTTATCTCCATGTGGAAGTGGAACAGAATTTTTCCTCTGTAAGCCATGCGTGTCACAAAAAGCGATTAAAATGCAGGGAGCAAGGGGATAGTAACCTCTTCTTCTGTATACATTACTAAATTTAAAAAAAACAGAAAGTTTCGTTTTTTAAGTCTGTCCAGATATGCCTGTCCAGTTATGCCTGTCCAGTTATGCCTGTCCAGTTATGCCTGTCCAGTTATGCCTGTCCAGATATGCCTGTCCAGTTGCCCGTCCAGTTTGCTGTGCTAGGTTCAGTGCCCTCGTCCAGTATCCTACATATGCCTGAACAAGTTTGTCTTCTCAGTTATGACAATCATTCTGTTATCTGTATGAACTGTATGTGTTTGAACGTAGTGTCATAAAAGTTTGCGTGTGTGGTGGTCAGGGCCCTCGCTTAATACACGTACCTAAATGATAACCTGGAAAAAAGTTTGTCCTTTCTTCGGAGTGTATAGCCAGAAGTATGTGTTTAATCTGTATGTCATTATTTATGTACCAGTATTGTAATAAAAGTGTTGTTTCTGGCGTTGCTTTGTTAAATGTTGTGTTTGTGCGTTTTTTATGCTGTTTTGTATGTTTGTTTTGTGTTTTAATGTGGTTGATGTGTGTGTGTGGTGTGTTGTGTGTGTGTGTGTGTGTGTTGTGTGTGTGTGTGTGCGTGTGTGTGTGTGTGTGTGTGTGTGTGTGTGTGTGTGTGTGTGTGGTGTGTGTGTGTGTGTGTGTGGTGTGTGTTGTTGTGTGTGTGTACTTATATATACGTATATGAATAATGATAATTCCTTCTGTGTAATAATTCTGAATACATTGTTTCCCTTTCGTGGTTTCAGTATGGCCAGAAGTAGTGGTTTAATATTATGTCATTATATTACTGTACCCGAGTATCTAGCCAGGGAAACAAGTACGTTATACAAGCTATTACCTAAAAGACGTTTCGCTCTGTTTAAAATGCTTTGCTTTAGATCGAAACGTTGCCACTATTTATGCTTGTTTTACATACTAGAATCTTTAAAGACTTCATTGTTTTAAAATATGACGAATATAAGACAATCTCGTGACATGAGACAGTTTTATTTCTCTATGAAGTTAGAAATAAATTAGAAATAAATTATCTGTAATATCAGCGTTAGATTTAGAATCATGATTGTTGTCGTTTAAATTAAATCTATATATTTTCAAATTCACAATCAAATCAGGATTACACATACTATCAAAGCTGTGCAATTCCACTTATGTAACGTTATGTGCTCTCTCTCTCTCATTTTCTCTCGAACACACACACACACAGGGGTCAGTCCTAGGACCAGTGCTGTTTCTGGTATTTGTGAACGACATGACGGAAGGAATAGACTCCGAGGTGTCCCTGTTTGCAGATGACGTTAAGTTGATGAGAAGAATTCATTCGATCGAAGACCAGGCAGAACTTCAAAGGGATCTGGACAGGCTGCAGGCCTGGTCCAGCAATGAGGTGTTTCCTACCCGTATGTAGCTGTGACTTCTTATTGGACTTGAAGGCCATGTGTTCTTCCCTATGAGCTGAGTTTTCTCTCATCTGCTTACCTGTGTTTGGAGATTACCTGTCACCTGCTTACCTGTGTTTGGAGATTACCTGTCACCTGCTTACCTGTGTTTGGAGATTACCTGTCACCTGCTTACCTGTGTTTGGAGATTACCTGTCACCTGCTTACCTGTGTTTGGAGATTACCTGTCACCTGCTTACCTGTGTTTGGAGATTACCTGCCACCTGCTTACTTGCATGTGGATGTGGTGAACTGTAGGTATTGGAAGTCGGCGAGTTCTTATCTGTTTGCACCTGTTACCTGTTGCTTGTCTTGTCGATAGTGACTCATCTCCTCTATGTGGAGGTTACCTGTCACCTGCTGACTTATGATTCAACATCAAATGTCATCTGATCACGTGGGTGTGATTGTCATACTGCAGTTACCTGGGGTATTAAGTGTTGGTAATTAAATTACTGAACGGGTGGGGGTTGAATCCAAGGCAAGAGAGTTCTATAATTCACAAGCTAGCACGTTAATCACTCGTGTTAACTGTCAAGATGTGATCTTACCTGTGTGAGGCGCTGAGCTGACACAGCGCCTGTGGGTGGTGAGCGTCCAGCATGGGCGGGGTGGCCAAGCACTGGTGCGCACTCACAGGCAAGTGGGCATTGGCGTAGGCATTGGAAGCAGCTTGACTGAGGGCAAGGTTGAGAGCGCTGGACGACCTG